GCAATTGTTAAGCGAGGTACCACTGTATATATTTCCAAAGAGCTCCATGCTTCAGTTATTTGTAGTTTTAAAGTGAGTGGGTGGGATATATACATTTATTAAAATTAGGCTATCTTCGCTACTTTCCATAGCCCTTGAATCCATGGGAGGTTTCTCTTTACATTTAAAATTTAGGGTATCTGAGATCAAAAGTGCCGCCAACCCTCCTTTCATCCTTCCTAGACCCTCTCCCCTTCTGGCTTTCACCCAATAGTTGTTGCACCCTTGCAGGGTGATCCATAATATCCAATTTCTGGCAGTCAAAGGGATTATCATGTGAATTTCTTAAACAGCGAAACCACCCTGCAACATTCCATGAGAGTATCTTAAGTGTGGAGGTTAATATTTGTCATTCTGTTTTATCAATGTTATCCAGGATTTTTTCGGCATCATTAAATAAACATCCATTGCGATTGAGGGGGTCCCTCTTTTTTAATACCAGAGTTGGTAGAGGAGATATCATCCTAGCTGTTTGTCCATGATTTGTAGCTCCTAGTACAGATGTCAATGGTGTGATCAACGGTATCCTATCCTCCTTTACGTTTGACAACTCCAACCCACATGTGGTGCCATTTGCTAACATTGGGGGTGTGTCTCCCCCGCTGCTAGCTGGAAGTTGATCCATAGCAATTGGAGGGATCTCCTCTGTGACATATGGGCCCACATTGTCTTGTATACAGTATTTCCGCTGGTGTATTAACAGTCCTTACTGAGTTCTGGAGTCGTGAGCGCAGATCTTTTAGCCTGTCCAGAATCTCTGATTGCGCTTCCCTTAAAGGGCCTGGCAAAGCTGCCAATGTCCCTGTCTCCACCGGATTTACCTTATAGCTGTCCTCCTTGTGTGCAGTATCTGTTAGGTCCAGCCACGTGATTAGTTCAGTTTCCATGGCTGTTTCTGTCCTTGGTTTTGGTGTTAGCAATGTTATTCTTGCCGGCTCTTTGTCAGGAGCCTTGTGAGTGAGATTTGGGAGGAGGGGATAAATCTTGGTGTTTTGGAACACTAAGTATTGAAAAAATTCCAAATTTCTTTAATAAGGGTCTCTTCCTCAGTATCAACGATGGTATTTTTTTTGGTTTGGAACAGTAGCAGTACTTTTTGTATCTGGTTAGATTTGTTTATGGTTTCGACTGAGATTAGGTCCTTTAGTAAGGGAGGGGTCTTCAAGAGGAAGCTTAGATGTCTTGCTACTTGGCTCTTGGTAGACCAGTTTATTTCTTTTCCTTTATAGAGGTAGACCGTTAAGCAAATTTTTTGGGATTGCAAAGAGAGAGCAAATGTTTTAAATTCCTCCCCTGTTTTTCTTAGACTTCCATCTAATTCCTGCCCAGTCTGTTGATTGTTGGGGGAGATTGTTGTTGAGGGTGCCTTCTTCTTGATCCTCCTCACTTCTGGTATTTTTCCAAATAGGTCTGTGCTGTTATCTACAGGTGTTGGGCTCTCCCTTCCATCAAAGATCTTCCCCAGAGAGGAGACTTTTTCCAAAAATATGGATAGCTCTTTAACAGCTTTCAGGATAAAGTCTATAGTTCTTTCCATAGTTCTCTTCATCAGTTTTAATATATTAGCTGGTTCAATCCCTACCTTGGCTTCCTCTTGTGTTGTCTTTAGTCCTCCTTGTGAGTTTACCTCCTCATTAAGCTGCTCTGTCTCTATATCAAACAAGGTTACTGCTTGAGTGTCCTTCTCTCCCTTTTGATTAACTTCATTGTCCCTTTCCACCAGAGGAGAGAAGGAGTTGGATATGGGGTGGGGAGTGTGAATTCAGGTTCTGCAGTAAAAAAAGTCCATTATCTTGGTTTGATTTGAAGCAGAAAAGGAAAGCAAATCTTTATCAGCATCATGCAGGCGTTTCCCAACACCCATCTCCTTGAGAAGGAATGCTCTAATAACAACTCACCACCTCCTACAGATCTTGTCCCGGCCTTCCCTGCCGCTGTGATCGGCTAACTATAAAAATTCAGATTGATTTAAAAAATGTTTAGGGTTCAGCCCTTCCAAATATTTATAACTGTTAAAACTATTTTATAGTCAATACAGACGCTACCTCCTCCCTCAGCTAACTATAAAAACTCAGATTGATTTAAAAAATGTTTAGGGCTCAGCCCTTCCAAATATTTATAACTGTTAAAACTATTTTATAGTCAATACAGACGCTACCTCCTCCCTCACCGGTAGTAACAACAGCAGCTGGAAATGAACTAGGATATGTCATATTGTTATCTTTTATTCCTGGAAAAATTTTTTTCAAAGTTTGAAGTTATAAAAGGTGCAGGTTAAAAAGTATTTAAAAGTAGCACGGAATAGTATTAAAAGTCGTATTAAAAACTGTGTTTTCTTGCTCTGAGAAATGCTACACATTGACTTTACAAAGAACAGCACAGGATAGCCAGCAGACCCAGGATGGGGAAAGAGGAGGTGAGATGAGGGAGCTTCCGCTCCTGCTGACAATCACATAGGTCTGTCTGGGGCGCAAAGGCACCCTCTCAACTGCACGCTGATGCAGCTTGGGGCTTTACCGGCTTGTGAAGGAAGCGTACGCAGAAATCGCCAAGAAGAGGAGAGGGGGAACTTCAGGATCTGCACAGGGCAAAAGATTTAATGTTTTAGCACTATCTGGCAATCTCTTGCCAGGAGCTGCAGAGATGCGCAACCCTGCACCCTTTGCTGCATGACATGGCTGAGAATTTATGAGCAGCGCTTGGAAAAGTTTTCCTTCTTTTGGACTGCGAAACCCAAAACCCCACCAACTGGCACGCAGGGGGATCGGGGGGGCTCCACACAGAAAAGGTCACTTTGCTAAGAGTTGCGCATCCAAGCAGCTGAGAAGACTCCTCTCCTGTGGAAATCCACTCAGGATTGACTCTCGCGTCTGCGCGCCTCCGAGTCTCCTTGAAGAGGCCTTCCCTACTGACAGGCGCCCACATCTCAGGGGGCTACCGCCCCATCAGAGGATCAGCTCCTGCAAAACGGCGCAGGAGGCTGGGGTATTCTGCCTACGCAAGTGTATTTCATGACGCACAGAGCAGAAAGCCTTGGATCGGGCCCGTCAAATCACACTCAGTAAAGTGTGTGCATGTTTGGTGAAGAGCCAGAAAGAGGGCAAGGACACAAAGATGGAGACCAACAAAAACCTGAGGAATTATGGGACTCTTTACATTTCTGGCTAGAAGCCCTCCTTGACAAATGCAACTCTGGAACTGTGAACTTTTTGACCTATGCTTTCAGTAGGTTGACAAAAAACATCTGCTGCTCATTGAGGGAGTAGAGCAAACTCTGGGGTAAAGATGACCCTGGTATGAGGATCCTCCAGAGGAAACCGATTCCACACTTGTCCTCTATATCAGGGGTCCCCAACCCCTGCTCCGCGGCCTGATTGCCAGTCTGTGGCCTGGGCTGGACCGGGTCGTGGAGACAGATCTCCCACCCGCCCACACAGCCCCTTTGTGCATGTGTGTGAGTGTGTGTGTCCCCCACCCCTTCGCAAAGGTGCACAAGTGCCTCCTGAGCACCCTCCACCCTTTGTGCATGTGCACACCAGTGCCCCCTCTCCAATGGGTCCGTGGAGTTAAAAAGGTTGGGGACCACAGCACTAAGTGATGGAAGACCCATTAAGTGTAAATAAAAGCATTCCATACACAATATTGTATTGCGGGGGGAAGCCTCTAATTCGCATGTCCAGCTAGCAACCTGCCCAAAAAGAATATTAAAAGAAGGGGTCTGGGCAACCGTTATATCTCTGCTGAGACCAAAAGGCTTTTGGAATCAATGACTTTCTTTGGAACTTGGATTATGCTAATCAAGAATTCTCCTCTCTTGGGTGAGTTTGTATGGAGTGTGAATGAGTTGAATGCATGAAACCCCTTTATTTAGAAGCTAGCAACCTGCCCAAAAAGAATATTAAAAGAAGGGGTCTGGGCAACCGTTATATCTCTGCTGAGACCAAAAGGCTTTTGGAATCAATGACTTTCTTTGGAACTTGGATTATGCTAATCAAGATTTCTCCTCTCTTGGGTGAGTCTGTATGGAGTGTGAATGAGTTGAATGCATGAAACCCCTTTATTTAGAATTGTAACCAGTAGATAATAAAGTGTCTTCATTTTGCGTTTATTAATGCGTGTCGTGAGGTCCTTTGTTGTTTAATATAGAGGTATGGCATTGTTTTTCTTGGGGTACAAAATGTCTCACAGTCCCCTTTTGTTGACAACTCTCGATATTAAAGGGTCCCCTCAGAGAGGAAGGCGACGGGTTACCTTCTGCTTTCCACCCATGAAACAAAAGCCGCAATCTGTCGGTGACCACGACGGGGATCCGATCTGGACCCTTCCAGATCTTCGGACATCAAAGCGTCGTCGGTCCTGTCCCGCTCCTGCGCCTTGTGCCCCACCTGACTTGAAGGACAACCCTCATCCTCCACCAGCACAGGAGTCATGGTAGCTGGGGATGATAGGGAGTGTAGTCCAACCCCTTAGAAAAGCTGGAGGAAGGCTGGTCGATCTGAAGCACCCCACGTAGTGGTTTCAGGCCTGCTTCCCCCTGGTCGTCTTCTGCCGAATCCTGGCGGTGGGGCTTCCCGCCCTCGCCATCCGCCATCTGCAGACCTCCGAGTAGGCGCAATGTCGGCACTTCCAGGCTTCCTCCACCTCCACCCCTTTGGGATCTCTCTGCCCTTTCCAGTAAGCCAAGAAATATCTCCCCTCGGCTTTCACCGTCTCCTCCTCGTAAGCCACGACCTGCGTGCCCAGCGAGGCGTTGGTCTCTTGGTGGACATACTCCACCTGCAGCCGGTCGATGGGCGGGAGGTCGGAGAAAGTCAAGTTCAGGAAGGCCAGCTCCAGGAGGTCTTGGAAACGGCACGCGGTAAAACCCGCACACAGAGCCTGCTCTCGGACCTGGGGGCCAAGCGGCTGCTCAGGCCTCAGCTGGAGGTGACAGATGAAACTTTCCTGCCCTAGGCATCCTCGCACCATGGCGTCGAACAGATGCTTGTAAAGGGAGACCTGAAAACAATCAAATAGAAATAAGCCAGTAATGAACCATCAAGGGCGGGCAAGCAGTTGGAGCAACGACCGGTTACTGCCTTCCTGCGCTGTCATGTTTTGCAAACAATTCTAATCTGTCGTTTTAGCAGTCCATGATTCCAGCTGTGTGTAATCTCTGGGTTTAGATCTGTGATATTCTGTCTCTGCAATTTGTGATTTTGCCTGTTTTTCTAGGGTGCCCTTTTAGCTGCCCTGTTAAGGAAAGGATTTCTAAATCAAATCCATAACGACTAAGAACGCACAATATGCTTCTGCCCCTTCCCAGTTTTCATGCCCTCCCAGTGTCCAATCCATCCCATAATTCACTGTAAGGTTAAAGCATGATGAATCACACGCCGGGAAGTCTGATCCTCATTGAAGCAGAGGTGCACTGTCCACACAAGACCTTTGTTCAAAATAAAAGAGAAATCAAGGTTTGGCTTAAACCGCAGCTGCACCCGGTGACAACTGGCCCCCACACCACACACTTTTGCCCATTTCAACTTCCGACGATGGCTTCTCTCTGCTTTGGACTATTCAGTCTACCAAACTAAGAGGAATCTTCAGGAGGTCCAGAACAGAGCTGCAAAGATGATGGATTCCGTGGGACAAATCCTGACCCAATCACACCTCCCATTGGCCAACCTCGGAAGGAGTTCCCAAGCTGATCTAAAAGGTCTGCTTTCAAGCCCTAAATGGACCCGAATGGACTCGAGGAGCGCACAGAGGGAAAGGGGTTATTCCCGTGTTACCCCACACACATGACAGAAGCTGCGCACGGTGAGGTTCGACCTTCTCTTCGTTCTATCCCACAGCCACCAAAGGTCTATTCGCTTCTAGCACATGACAGAAGCTGCGCACGGCGAGGTTCGACCTTCTCTTCGTTCTATCCCTCAGCCACCAAAGGTCTATTCGCTTCTAGCAAAGGACAAGATATTTCATAGCCATCTCCACCAGATTTCTGACCCACGTGACAACCCTTTTAGTGCCCGGGACACCGATGGCATGAAGGCTGCAGGACTGCTATGGTGGCTGCTTTGTTCCATTTTTTTCTCCTAAATATTAGAAGCCCCCGAGGGGCTGTTTGTGCCTTGAGGACGGATCCCAGGAGGCCTTTCGTGGTGGCCGTGCTGTGCTTCAGCTTTTCCTCACGCAGGAGCTGCAAACGGCATAAACTCCTGAGGAAAAAGAAAGCCCTCATCTGCCAGAGTTGAGGGAATCTCACACGGTTTGGGGGCCCCTCATCATGTTAACCCTGCCTGAAAATGACCAGAATGAGGAGGCTGGGAAGCCTTCGTCCCTTTTCAATCCGGACATTTATAGAATTCTTCCTTCCTTTCCTTTCCACCTTCCCTCTTTATTTCTTTCCTTCCTTCCTTTTCCTTTTTTCTTTTATTCCTTCCCTTTTTCATTCCTTCCTTCCATCATTCTTTCCTTTTCTTTCTATCCTTCTTTCCTGCTTTTTTCTTTCGTGCCTTCTTTCCTTCTTTTTCCCTTTCCTTTTTGGTTTTGTTCCTTCCTTCTTGCTTTCCTTCTCTTTCCTTTCTTCCCTTTTTTCTACCTTCCTTCTTTCATTCCTGCTTTTTTGTGCCCTTCTTCTCACTTTCCTTCCTTCTTTCTTTCCTTCTTTTCCCCTTTCCTTTTTTCTTTTGTTCCTTCCTTCTTGCTTTCCTTCTGTTTCCCTTCTTTTCTACCTTTCTTTTTTCATTCCTGCTTTTTTGTGCCTTCCTTCTCACTTTCCTTCTTTCTTTCTTTCTTTCTTTCTTCCCTTCCTTCCTTTTCTTTCTTTTTCTTCCTACCTTCCGTCCATTCTTTCTTTCTTTCTTGCTTCCCCCCGTGCCTTCCTTCCTTCTTGCTTTTCTTCTTTCTTTTTTCCTTTCTAAGAGACCTCTCAGGATCTGCAAAAACCAAATCTATATAATATTAACAGAAAGAAGTAAGGAGGGAAAGAGATGATAATGTAAAGATGGAACTTCCTTTTCTTTCTTTTTCTTCCTACCTTCCGTCCATTCTTTCTTTCTTTCTTGCTTCCCCCCGTGCCTTCCTTCCTTCTTGCTTTTCTTCTTTCTTTTTTCCTTTCTAAGAGACCTCTCAGGATCTGCAAAAACCAAATCTATATAATATTAACAGAAAGAAGTAAGGAGGGAAAGAGATGATAATGTAAAGATGGAAGGAAGGAAGAGATGATAGATGAAAGAGAGAGGAAGGAAAGGAGAAAGTGAGGTAGGAAGCAAGAAAAGAGCTCAAGGTGGAAGAAGGAAGGGAGGGAGGGAGGAAATGCCTGTTTCACGCAACCAGGGCAGAGGCCTCCTGCTTGACCATGTCGGACTGGCCAAGTCACACACACTGGCCAGGCCGCTGCAGCCGGCGGCTCCTCCTCGGCTCACCTGGAAGCCATCTTTCTTCTTCTGCGCCCGTGAAGGCATGGAGGCCTCCTTCCGGGTCTTCAGCTCATTCAGCTGCAGCTCTCCTTTCGGGGTGTAGCCCAGCTGATCGATGACCCCGACCACAAAGACCCCTTCCAGCACGCCAAAGACGGGGAATTCTCGAACACGCTGACCTTCCATGAAAGAAAAGGTTGAGACCGTTCAGAAAGGAACATCCAAGGCACAACCCTAAGGGTCATCCCAGGGGACCCTCGTGCTTTCACGACAGCCGGCGACCCCTCACCGCTCTGTACACCCCAAGAAGCTTCCTCTGTCGCTCTGGGAACCCCTCGCGCGGCTGTTCCCAGTCACGGGATGTTCTCGGACGACCACGCCCAGAAACCCCGGCCAGCACCGCAAGGGGCGAAGGCTCCTTCTGGGAGTTTGAGTCCAAAAACATGTGGGTGACCCCAGGTTGGGAACCCCTGCCATATAGGAGAAAGTGGTGTTTACTTAGCACCACCGACAGTTGGGAGGTGGGAGGAAAAGAAAACCTCTCTTTGTTGACTTCCAACTTTTAATGGCCATGAAATCTTTCTATCTTAGAGCCTCGCATAATTGGGGGGAATCTTTCTGATGCCACCAACTGAGCTTAAGGAGAAGTACCCCAAGACTGGAATTGGGGGAGGGGGAATCTTCCACCCAAAACATGGGATACCAGCCAGAAATGGAGCCATGGAGAAGGGGGTGGGATCGCGGGGAACCCCAGGGGACTGACTCGACCTGTCCCTCTTGAGAGGTGGTTTCAGAGCCACAGAAGGAGATGCTTGCCTGCTTGCAGGGCCGGAATCATAAGCAGAAGATTCAGCAGCTTTATGGCCCACGAATCCTCTTGGCTTGTGGCGCAGATCGGCACTAAGTCATGGTCCTCAAGCTCTGTGTTGGAAAACAGGAAGAGAGAACATTAAAAACCAAGTGGCTTCCTGCTCGGATGATTCATCCGTAGCTCGACAGGAGCTTTCCAATCATTTCTGTGTTGGAGCTGCACGGAATAAGTTGATTTTTCCAGTGTGCATGAAGTCCCCTCACCTCTGGCCAGATGGATGCTCTTCCCCAGATCCAAGAGCGCAGCGTTCTCCGGACTCCCCAGCTCCGGCTGCTCCCTCTGGTACACCATCTGCTGCTCGCACCAGACCTGAGCGGCCAGGTGGGTGACCCAAAGGTAGCGGAGGCGGGAGGCTTCCAGGGGGGTCTCGGCTCTCTTCCTTTCCACCACCTCTTGGGTGACGCCACCTGGACCAGGAAGTGGACGGCGGGAACGCTCGGGTTTTTGAGAATCTCTGCAAAACAAGAATGGACAAGATTTGGGTCCAAGGTCTCTCAAAGGCCTCCGTCGCCCTGCTTGAGCCTGCCCACAGGCATGAAGCTCCCCTGACCAGATGATAGAGGGCCTTCTCGGTCGCTCTCTGGCTGTTCTTTCTCCTGCCACCAAGTCGTCTTCAACTTGGGCGGATTCTCGCCGCGACTTCAAGGTATGAAGGAAGAAGAGCCAGCCTGGCCTCCAGTGGGAGGGAGTTCCAGAGTCTGGGAACGGCCACAGAGAGAAAGCCCTCTCCCGGGCCTCCACCAAACACAATTGTGAGGGGAGTGGGGCTGAGAGAAATGGTGAGATTTGATAAGGTTCCCCCCAAGCTGGGGGTGGGGAGAGGGGCGATGCTTTCTGTGGGCCAGCGTGAGGGAGCTGTCATCTGACGGACGGGCTTAAAGCAGGGAAAGGCAAGGACGTGGAAGGCAGAAACCCTGCCCCCATCGCCCCCCCCATAACAGAGGTCAGGGTTGCAATTTGCATATACAGGTATATGGTAATTTTAGGAAAAAGACTCAGGACCTCATGATTGATGGAAGGATGGAAGGAAGGAAGGAAGGAACAAAGAGAAGAGAAGAGAAGGAAGAGATGGTAGAAGGAAGAGAGAGAAGAAAGGTTGGGAGGAAAGAAGGAAACATAGGAAGGAAGGAAGCAAGGAAGGAAGGAGCTCCAGGAGGAGAGAAGGAAGGGAGAAGAAAAGGAAGGAAGCAAGCAAGCAACGGAGGAGGGATCAAGGGAGGGAAGGAAGGAAGGAAGAGAGCTAGAGGAAGGGAGGGAGGAACCAGGAAAGACGGAAGCCGGGAAGTAAAGGAAGAAAGGAAGGAGCTCAAGGAGGCTAGAAGGGAGGGAGGGCGGGAGCGACCCTGGAACCGGCCTCGGGGAGGCAGCCCGTGGGTCCAGCGGCAGCTGGGGGG